TAACCATTGTCATAACAATTAAAAAAAAACAAAAAAAAAATACAAAATACATATACATAATAAAAATTCATGACAATTAAACATTTGTATAAACAATATATTTATTCTAATGCTACACATCCAAGGTCATCTGAATCGGACGTGTCCCCAGTGATCGTCATTACATGTAAATTGTCGTCATCCATCACATCATCGACGGTCATGTCCACATTCCAAAATCTGTCTTCTATTTGGATGACGTGTTTGACAAAATTCTCCCACATTTCGGGAGTGCATTGATTAACACCATCAATCAAATGTTTTTGTACGTCCGGAAGTTTGAATGTGGTATTGTTTGACTTCACATACCTTTTTACGGACGACCACGCAAGTTCAATTGGGTTCAACTCACAATGATACGGTGGCGTCCGTAATACCGTCATATTTTTAGTTTTGACGTATTCGTCAACAACGTATTTGTTGAACTGCGGTTTAATACGCTTTACGATTTCCATTAGTCCTACCTTGTTGATCGGCCTTTGGAATGGTTCACCCTTTTCTTCAAGCCAACTTTCAATTTCCGCCTTTTTCCATCCTAATGTTGGGCATTTTTCTACTTTAACTGAGTGATAAGGCGCATTGTCCATAACTATGACAGAATTGTCTTTAAGTAATGGAATGACGCCTTTCAACCAGTCGAAAAAAACATCACCATTCATTTCTTCGTGATAATCTGAAGAACCTTTTTTGGATTCGAATACCAATAAGCCACCGTCGACAAAACCCTCGTTTGATCCAATATGAACAACAATAAGTCGTTTCCCTTTTGCTGTAGGATTCGGTGCGCCAGTAGAAAGACCGCTCAAAAAGGCATCTCTGTGGGACGTAACAGTATTATCCTGCCATATTCTGTCGTTACAGTCACCTGCGTTGACCCAGGTCTCGTCCAGGTAGTATATCCACAGAATAGATTAAATCAGAATGGAAACTCGTAAAGAAATACACAGCTCTTATGGCCGCCCAAAAATATGGTCGGCCATATTGAAAGGGCTCGACAGTGTTGACCTAAAATTTAATATGAAATATTTGCAATACAATAATTACAATAAATAGACCAGTATACAATATTTTATTAGAAGTTCAGCAGACTTAAGCATTAAACTTAGGTTTTAGTGGTTGTACTTGCACAATGTAAATATATATACATATTTAATAATTACATTATATATTATATAATAATAAAAGCACTGGTGCAATACCTAGGCTTTGTCAGTGGTCAGTGATCAACAACTACAAAATAATAACATTAATAAAATGTAGTTAAACAATACTTTTTTTATTTTTATTTTAGTTTAACATATTATACCTAGGTAAGTATTAATTAATAATAAAAATAACTAAAACATATCAATACAAAATAAAATAAATGGTACTTATTATTGCATACATACAAATATTAATAGTAATAATAAGAACAAAATGTTTGTGTAAATGGTTTTAATATTTAAACACTTAAAAGTCAGAAATGAAAATAAATAGTTATAAATTTATAATAACAAATGAAATATTATAAATGAGATAAAACAGTTAATTTTCTATTTTTTAATTTTTTCTCAGAAACTAAAGATCTGTTTAAAAATTTAATAGCTGTAAAAATTCTGAACCTAATATATAAATTTAATAAAAAAGATTTGTTAAAAAATTCACACGGATGACTAAAAGGAACATTAGTAAAGTCAAGTCTTAACTTTGCACCAACAGAGTTTTCCACAGAAATGGATGGAAATAAATTTATAAAAATATTTTCCAGCTCATAAATAAAATTATAAAAATCATTATGAGGCATCATTAAGTTTCCAAATGTTGAGTGATCACTTGTAGGATATGCTTTATGGAAGGATAAGAGGAGAGACTGGTCTAATTGTTTTTGATGACGAGCATAATTGATACAAACCTCACATATATGCTTTTCTAAACATTTCTTCATCAGGTATCCACACACATATGTAAATGTGTTCCTTTCGGGTAAATCTAAATTTCTATAATCAACTGTACCAATACTAATAGGTTTAAATTTAAATGGAGTTTTTTCTGGTTCAAGTAGATTAAGAACTTCACCATTGGCTATTTCTGAACACAGTATTTGATCCAAATCCTCAATACAATTAGCGCCAGGTGAAGTTTGAAAATAATTTAAACAAAATATTTTTTTAAAGGCCCAACACAATTGAATGGGTGTGGGATTAAAATTATTGCCTTGTTGTTGGCGGAAAGTACAAAATAGATTTTCCAAACAATCTTGGTTAATTCTACCAGTATATAGAACGTAATTAATATCTTTTGTTGGATTTAAAGAATTATAAAGCATTTGTAATCCAGATATGGAGATTAACCAACCTTTGATGAAATTCATACGTTTAGTTTCATCGGTTTTTTTATACTTATGAATAACCTTCATGTTTCTAAATACATCAGTCATTTTATTTAAATGATTTAATTGTTGTTGAGTATTTTTGAATGGACGTTTAAAAGATTTAAGCCCAGGAATTTTTGAAGAATTAAATATATCAAATAATTTATCCATGTCATTAATAAAATCTATAGTGAATTGAGCAGAAGGAAGTAAAATTTTGGAAACTAAGGTTGTGGACATACCAGCTGCAACACTCTCACTAAAAACTTGAGCAGCTAAATAGACTCTCATTTTTTCAAATGGACCCGGGTAGATATGAGAATATTTTAACTTGGGAGCTAAACGAAGATTACACTCTGAATCATAATTATAAAATGAAACAATGTGGTCTTTGGTTACAATTCTTTCATTAATTTGAAAATTATGTTTGAATAACATATTACGGGTTGATTTTAAAAGATGAGGGGGGTCAAAAATATAAATAACTTGTTTGCCTTCTACTTCAAAAAATGGTCGGTCAGGAGAAACATAAAGGTCATTAGCTAAACGAGTAAAATTTGATCCTTGGTCAGTTACAAATGCTTTAACATTAAGTTTAATATTTTGAAGGCGACAAATTGTAGTCAAAATTATATCTTTTAAATCAGTACCAGTGCAGCTGCCAGAAACAGGAAAGTAGGCAATTGGTTGTTTCCAATTGTGGTTTATACCTCTAATCATAAGAACCAAAGCATATTTAGCAGGTTCGTACTTTTTATGAGAAATAGATTCATGAAATCCAATTATTTTATCTTTTGATACATTATAAAAAAGATTGGTTTTTAAAGCCATTTCATCAGCACATAGAATACAATCTAAGGCTTCAGATTTAAAATTACTAATTTTAAAAGATAGAAAATTAAAAATAAAATCATTTAGACCAGGATTAATATCATATTTACTTGTAACATTTCTTAAGGTTCTACTAGTAGGAAGAGATAAAGAATTTTGTAGTAATTTGTAAACTTTAGGACCTAGAAAATAAATATTAAGAGCAAGTTGTTTTATCTTATTTGAATACCTATGACCTTTCTGTTGTTTTTTTATATTTTTCATTTGAGAATTAACCAACATAAATAAGGTAGGCTTTAAATTTTCTTGACACACCTTAAGACAATAATCTACAGAATATCGTTCAGCTAACTGCAAACTTAAAATGTTGACTTTATTTGACAAATCCTTTACTTTTTCTTCAGATTCTTTCCTCAATTGAATTTGTTCTGCAAGCTTTTCATGAAGTTTCAGTTTTCGTGGAGTATTTGCAGACAGATATTTAGGAGTTTGAACACCTGTACTACTCATTTCTACTTCAGACGATGTTGATGCATCTGACATGGTAACTGATATGTTAATAGCAGCCAAATCTAAGAAAAAAAAAATATATAATAGATTTTTAAAGTTTTATTTCATTGTTTAGTACCTAATATCAATATGTGATATTAATTATTAGCGTTTCACAACCTTTTTGTATATACAACACAAAAATCACAATCTCAATTTTAAAAATATGATACAGTATATTATGCCATATGGGTGTAGAAATATTATTTACCTGAATCAAATGTTGAACAAGATGGTGTATTGTCAATAATACCAATATCATTCAGTGGAATTTGAACATGTTCAACGATCGGAACCTCTTCAGCCAAATGTTGAAATATTGTTGGTATGGCATCAGATTTAATTCTATTTTTTTGATAGTTACTAAACATTTTGTCTTCAAAATGCAAAGAACAAAGTCTGTATTTTCTGTTCAGAATAACAGGATCAATAGACATTAACGATTTGCAATTGCATTTTTCCAACCAAGTTGTACATCTATAATAAAAATAATAAATAATAATACATAATTGATACAATAATGACAATTTTAACATGACCTTATAAATTTATTAAGCTTAAAAACCACATGTTGAAAATTAAAGTTTGAAGTATTAATGTTTATAAATCAGAAAACAAAAAATTAAAATAATATATAGGTACCTAGAACTATCCTTGGGAAATGAAAAGTAGCTTCTCGGAGTAAGTGCTGAGTCGTCCTTTCGTTTGCTCTGACACTCGGAAATACAGCATTTCATGCCACAAGGGCTATTGTACGATGTATTATACATGTTAATAAATGTTTTAAATAAAAAGTAATAATAAATAATTATTAATTATATTTAAAATTATTAAAAACGACAGTAACACAAGACAAGTGTTTCTAAAAATCGAAAAAAACACGTGGAAACAACCAATAACCATAAAAATCACAAGTCAACAAAACACGTCTTTCTACGTTCATTGATATTAACTAACAAAGGATCATGAAAGGGGTAGTATTCACAAAGGAGTTGGTTCAAAGGATAAAAACTGTTTATTTTTTAAATTGTTTACAAAATGTGGCGGGTCAAAAGTGATAACACAGAATAGATTACATTTAATCTATTCTGTGGTGAAAATCTTGATAAACAGTGTAACCAAATAACACATAAATAATATAAAAATAATTTTTTGTTATCTGGGAAAACTGTCGAGCCCTTTCAATATGGCGGACTATTTTTCGGGCGGCCAGAGATTCCATTCTGATTTAATCTATTCTGTGGTATATCGTTCTTCTTTGTGCCCGGTATTTACGTATATCTTCAATATATTTTGTGCGCCATAACACAATATCATCTCTCTCTATGAGAGCGCTGTTACGGCCACGTTTGACGTATACAAAATTTAAGTCATGTATTAGTAAATGTAGAGTAGACCTTTTGTATGTGTTTAAGTCTGGGTCTTCGTTAACGGCTGTTAAAATTTTATCCAGTGTAGGTAACTGTTTTCGGAACCAAAACTCGTGCACCTTCCTCCGTATCGCGTCACGTTCAAAATCATCAACTTTTTGTTTATATGTCGCTCGAATTTTTGATTTATTTGGCGAACTCACAGTTTTTTTGTTTTTGTATTCAGCAATTGTTGACTGGATTGTATTTTTACCAATACCCAATTCTTTTGAAATTATCATCGCTACTTCTTTAACCTTTAACGTTGGCTGTTGTATCATTTTTGATTTAAACAAATTTACAATCATCAGTTTTTGACGACTTCCGACGAACTGAAAAATGAAGACAAAAAAAATATATTGATTACAAATCAAATAATATTCTTTAAAAAATTACAAAATGTAATATATTAAGGGGCCTAGTACCGGTTTTCCAAATTAAAAACAATTAAAATTTATCCACACTTACTTTTCCTCTAGGGTTCACCTTTAATGGTGTACTAGAAACTGGTCGCTCATCACTCATTTTAAAATTATATTATTCGTACGAAAAAAAGATATAATTTTCACTTGAGTTACGTATAATAAATAGTAAACACACTTCGCGCTGGAATCAGGAATGTACTACGAGCATCAACTGGAATCGTCGGACACGTGCCGCCGGTCGTCGGAAAGCGACGTCGGTCGTCGGAAAGCGACGTCGGTCGTCGGAGCGCGACATCGGTCGGTGGGCCGTCGTTGTGAGCACACTGGGCTGGGTACGCTCGGGGATGCGCGAAAACGGGCCGATTTTGGTCGGCGCGCGGCCCGTTCTCTCGCTGGACAGAGTATAGTCATAACAAATGCCATTACAACCTGTGTGTTTTAGTTTAGGTAAATAGTTTTAAAAAATATGAAACAAATTACATACATTTTGGGAGTTGTCACATCACTATTTAATTCCATCTTCCTTCGTTTAGGTGTTCTGAAACTACAAAAAAACCAACATAATTAATGATAATTTGTATATAGTAATGGTAATATTTAGCTTTAACTAATAACAAAATACACACTGTGAATAAGTATCGGATGCAGAAGTATAAACAATTGGTGAGCAAGACGCATCATCTGAATTTTGAACAACACTAAAAAGAAAGTTTTTTTAAATTTAAATTTGTAATAATAAATAAAATACGTACATATTATTCAAAACATTTGGAGTAGAATTTACAGCATTGACACTAGAAAAACAAACATGATAAATACAATTTTGTACAGTAATAGTAATATTTAATTTAAACTTATAACTAATAAAATACAAACTGTGAATAATTATCAGAAGCAGAAGAACAAATAATCGGTGAGGAATACTCAACATTTGAATTTTGAACAACACTAAAAAGAAAGTTTTTTAAATTTAAATTTGTAATAATAAATAAAATACGTACATATTATTCAAAATATTTGGAGTAGAATTTACAGCATTGACACTAGAAAAACAAACATGATAAATACAATTTTGTACAGTAATAGTAATATTTAATTTAAACTTATAACTAATAAAATACAAACTGTGAATAATTATCAGAAGCAGAAGAACGAATAATCGGTGAGCAAGACTCATCATCTGAATTTTGAACAATGCTATAGAGAAAGTTTCTTTTAAACTAAATTTTATACTTTAATTTGCATTATTAAATAAAATATAGTATTCTCACAATGGTATAGCATCAGTCTTCAATATTTTTCTAGCGTTGCTGAAGATATAACTGTCACGATTAAAGTGATTTCCACAAACATACTGCCAATCACCAATTTGTTGCATCCCTAAGGCTGATGCCCATTTTTGTCTTTTTTCCAAATTCTTAGGAAATCTATCCATAATTATTATTATTAGGTACTATTTAATATCGAAAGCTAAATTTTTTCATATACATTTTTGACTTATTTGTGATGAACAATTAACATTTTAAATCACAACTAATATTAATAATACCTGTGAAATGATAGATTTTTATTATCCTTAGATGAAAGATTACAAATTCTGCACGTATGAACCATAGTTCCAATTATAAATATACAATTTTAATAGAATACGATTAAGAGTAAATAAGTCGAATAATAAAATTAATAATTATGTTACAGATACAATTATAAATTATAATTTAATATATAATTTTAAATTTATAACAGTATTATAATTTATAATATGTTTACAATTTATAATCTCTAATATCTATGAGAGCAATCACAGAATATAAATTTATGATAAGACCGCTGCTAGAATGAGAGGCATTGATAAAATCAGTCTTTCTCTCTTCCACATCCCGGCCCCATGACCCTCTATTTTGTTAATATAGCCATGGCCTATCCATTCTTTAATATCAATGGAAAACACGCATTTAAACTAAATATATCTGTGGGATATTATTTCCCACTAACCACAGGGCTATAGAATTTTTGCAATGTGATGGGAAATTATTTCCCTATACCCACTAAAGGGTTAAATGTTTTATATTTTTTAATGAATAAATTCTTGATTCCATTCTAATTATTCAATATGCTTAATTTATGTGACAAGAATTTATACGTAAATTTAATAGAATTACACCTGGCTTTACCTACTGTGTTTCATTCAATATATGCTTCCAATTCTGCGTACAGTTGTGTAAGTCAACTACTCGTTTGGTTCCAATACAATTGGACGGATCAATTGGATATTTCCAAAAACTTAGTACACAAACTTAGTACAAAAAGTCTCAGAATTTAGTATATTATTTGTATTATTAACTTTAATAGAGAAAAGTCTACAAAAGAACATATTTTATAGATGGGAATCATGGTTCATTTAAGAGGACGCTACACCCGCATGTGTTGTCTCCGTCTTACAAACGCGTAACATAGCAAATTACGTCCACGGAAAACAAACGAATCGGCATCAAAAAGTGGTTTTAGAGTAAAAATACCTATAATAAAACTTAAAGAGAACAATATTTTGGAGGGAACCTCATCGGCGTTTTTAAAAATATTAACTATTAAAAAAGTTGTGGTTATTTAAAAAAAAGAGTTTTTGTGCCTTCAATATCTAGCTGTGTATTTAGATTAATACAAAACCCCGATGAGGTTCCCTCCGAAATATTGTTCTCTTTAAGTTTTATTATAGGTATTTTTACTCTAAAACCACTTTTTGATGCCGATTCGTTTGTTTTCCGTGGACGTAATTTGCTATGTTACGCGTTTGTAAGACGGAGACAACACATGCGGGTGTGGCGTCCTCTTAAGTAATCCGATTACGTTCGCCGGTTCGCTACTCAGTACTCGTGTTCACCCTGCGTCCCTGCCAGTAGTAGTAGCTACTAGCTAGTACTTAGTAGGCAGTACCTACTAACTACTATCATACTAGTATACTACTATAATCCTATGACCTACTGCTTATTTCCTTATCAGTTAATTGTCATTAAATTGATAATACTATTTGTCTTATATATCTAATTAAATAGGTCAAAAATATTAAATGGTATTAAATAAATTAATCATTACATATTTTAGATATTTAAAAAATGTTATGTCTAAATAGGTATATAATACTATGCATTTTTGTTTTGAATTAAACTTTGATGCATGAGTAATAACAAAAAAACAGTGTGATATTTTTTAATAATATACTTTATTGTCTGACTTTGTACTTTATTAACTGACTAACCTAACGTCCTGACCATAAAGTATCGTCTAAAGACTGTAAAAATAACAGTTGATTTAAATGCTTGGATGTTAATCGATTCCGTTGTTTGTTTAATGTCAATCCTGTCTTAGAAACTAATCTTTCGCTGGGGACAGACGTCGCAAAAGGTACTAGATATTTAACGGCAACCTTGGATAGTATTGGATACACTTTGCACATATCCTTCCATATTAGTAAAGCATCATTTGGCATGACTGCTTTTCAGGTATAAATTTAATTCAGATGGAAATCCACTATCCTCCTGTAACTGTCCTCTATGGGATTTACGACTGGTAGATTGTTGAACATATTTAGCATGATCTTGCCACAAATTGAACGTCTGAGGTTCTTCTACTGCTGAAAAATAAAAAATGCATACATGTTACATCATAGATTTATTTTGTAAATGATAAATTGTGTATTCATACTTGTGTTGTCTGTATCAGATGAAGTTTCACTGGAGCTCATGGTCTCTGTTTGTTTGATCTCGGCCTTGGTTCTTCTGCTTCATCTTCTTCTTTGCCTGATAGATCATCAATAACTGAGTATGAATCCAAACCTGGAAAACTGGCATGCATAACACATTACGCCTCCTTAAATTTTGTTTCAAGATTCTTAAAATGCTTGAGATATTTTATAAAACACATCATGTAAACCTAAATCAAACTACCTATGTGTAACATTCAATTTGTTATGAATAACACCAATTGGTGTGTGGTACTTCACATATCCTCTCAACCCAGGAAAATAGTAATTCTTCTAGGATGTACACAATTAACGTTCGCCCCACATTTATCTTCAATATTTTTATCGATGGTCAACCTAGTACCCTATCATATGTTTTATAAAATATTATTTTGTTGTTGAAAATGTATTATAAAGTTTTACCTGCTGTTAACCTTCACACTTCTAATATTAATGTGAGACTTTATCCATTTTAATTTTGTTAATTTCTTTATTACAAAATTTGATTCTTTTAAGTCTTGACAATTTCCATTTTATTTAAGAATGGTTTCAATTATTATATCAAGTAAAAACAATTTTGTGCTTCTAGATGATTATTAATTCATAAGTGCGTTTACTGTATAATAGTAACATATTTAGTTAATTGAAAACAATGAATGTTTGATACAGTTTGGGTCAGAATTATGAATTAAAGTTTTTTATCTGGTTTTTTACATTAACTACAATTAAAATATATTTTTATGAAAGAAAATATTTGAATCTTTATTTTATTATTACATTATAACTTTATTATTAATTATGGATACTTATATAATAGCTATTTGTTCTTATCTACCATATTTGCATTAACATTGATATGAATTTGTTTTAAATTAAAACAAATAAAAAATAAAAAAAAGATGTTTCATACATGTTGATATTATTGTGTATAATAATTGTAAGTTGAGAATTCAACTGATATATAGTCAAGTTAGCTGTGAACTGATGAATCATTCAATAAATGCATATGTATGAGCCCCTGGCGTGGTGTGTTGCCACCCGCAAGCTCTTAGAAGTATATTTGAATGAACATGTTAAATTACAAATAAAAATGACAAACATTAATGGTTGTGTTTGTACATGTTAGCTTATTAGCATTATGTGGTAAGAGCTTGTATGTTATTTATACACAACAGGAATATTATGTTATGTATACACACAATGGTGTTATGAAACACGGTATATTAACAGTGGACAATTTTATAATGCAATGTGTTGTAAAGAATATTTAAAAAATAGTTGTTATATAGTGTCTATAGTTAGTTTTATTTTCATTCTGTACATTAAAATAATTTACCGATCAAAAAAGTTTTATGTAGTGT